ATATATATTCCAAAGTTAATACTATCATGTTCCTATATACTCTTTTCACTATTTTTGTCTTATGAGATGTATTTTGTAATTATCAATTAAATTAATTACATTATTTTAAAAATTATTTTATTTAAGTGACAATTTTTATATAACAAGTAACAAACACTTAGAATTAATTAGATATAAAATCTCTCTTTTATTAGGATTGAAAATATAAATCAACACATAAATATTTATCTTTCAAACATTAATTAATTAATTAAAAAAATATTTAATTAAAATTCTTTTAGAGGAGGTAGAAAGTAATGGATTGACCCAATCATATTTTATATATTATAAGATTTTAAGTGTAGATCAAATTTATATTTAAATAAAGAACTCTATTAAAAAAAGATAAATTATGTCTGTCCGTTCTATACCAATAATCATAACACTATCCAATGAAAATCGTAATTTACTTAAATCATTTTAACTGTGAGATTAAATTAAACAAGGAAAATGCATGTGACACAATGCGTGGCCCATAAAGAGAGAGAGAGAGAGAAGAGTGGAGTAAAGCTATAAATTAAGCAGATGGACTGAACTATCAATCTATCAATCAATCAAAATTGATAGCTGAAAACTGAAAAGAACCAAACAGTTGCTTAGTTGCAGTGCCTTTGGTTACCTGTATAAGCAACACCTAGCCATTGCCAAGCCAAGACAACAAAACCACTCAAAGGATATTTTCCTTACCGATTTAAACAATAAAAAATGCAGAAAATTACTATTAAAAAAAACCAATTTATGGGAGTTTCTAATTTCAAATGAATTTGTTTTTGACTTTTAAATATCTAGAAAACTGCAACAAATAATTGATGTCTTAAACACTTGGATATCATTATTTCATAAGTTTCGTGACACCATTACTTAAAACATGATCATGGATTAGACATGACCATTTCGATAATTTCTACTTAATTAGAAAAATTTTCATTCTTAATGCATATATTCAATGGAACTAAACATACCCTAAAATCACGTGTCTCCTCCTATTTGTAGTAGGTGTTTAGTGTCATTGTTGTTAGGTCCTTCTTAGGTATCCAACTCCAAATGCCTGGTTCATACTTTTTACAAATCTCTTTAAGCATTTTGCAATAGTGAAAGACTTTTCCTAGCCTCCAACGACATCAACCCTCATGTGAAAATAATCACTGTAAGAATTGTTAAGAGCTTCTACATCTCGTATCTTTATATTTGTAACCTTCATCGAAATTGAGCATTTGTGTATACAAAATCTTTATAGAAATATCCTTGATAATGTAATTGTTCAAAATTTTGATATGTATAAAACGATAAACAATTGCAAAACTTATTAAGTGGGTATTCGTGTATATATAAAAATATAGTTTGTATTTGTTTCACACTCATCTCATTTTTCAAAGCACATCCAACGTCAGTCGTCCTCTCACAATGGATTGGCATTGAACGTAATTGAATGGTGTTACAAACATAGACAAATATGATGAACAAAATTACTTTAATATTGTGTTGGACAAAAGAAATATTTTTCATATTCAAAATTTTTAAGGATAACTAAAATCTGTTTGTTTCATCATAAATATATATTTTTAAAATATTTATATATATTTTTAAGAATAAATATATTTATCGGTGTAAAAAAATATGTTTACATTTAAGTTTAATAAAATTTACTGTAAACTTTAATTATTAGCTCATTTAGTGAATGAATTAATGATGATTAAGTTATCGTAAAACTAAAAAACCTTGTTTGTGTGTTCAAACTTTATAATTTTTTTTTTTTGTAAACTTAGTCTATTTAATAATGATTTTTAATTAACAGTTGAATTATCAGATTTAAAAAGATGTATATATATATATATTAATTATGAGTTATTGAAAGAAATAATTTTATTAAAAATTACTCTTAAAATAACTTAATTAAAGCGTTATATTTATCTGGTGGAGATAATATTCACTCTTGTAGCATAGTAGATAAACTTAAGGGGAAAAGAAAAATTACTTTAGATTTCATTGGTTCACTAGATGATTTTATTGAAAAAGTTCGGAGTCGCAATATTTATTTCACTTAGGATTGAATTTTTCTACCAAGTGTTATGTCGTTGTTTCCGAAGATCTTTGGAGATGATGTTGGACTCCAATTTGGTGGAGGATCATTAGGAATAAGTTATCTTATTAAATAAGTATTTGAGAAAAAAAATTAATTTAACAGGCATATAAAAAATAACCCATAAACTCTTACTTTCCGTGAAAATAACCCACACATCTTAATAAATATTTGTGTACAAATCACAAAAACACAAAAGACAGCTAACGGTTTAGCAAAAGTTAAACAGAAGTACACTGTGTGATATTTTTTTTGTAAATAGAAGATATGTTATGTCATTAAATGGTAAACACATATATCTGGATTAGTATGTTGTAATTTAAGGAATTTAGATGCATTCTTCCGAAACAATATTGTATACAAATTTCACATTACCTATAAATTAAAATTTCCAACAAAATTCAAATGATAATGTTATCCAACAAATTAAGTTGAGTTAAAAATATTAAAAATAAAAATAAAAAAAATTGGTCGAACTCCGTCCTTAGGGGTCCAATGTTGGAAAGATAGGCTAGCAGGGTTCACCTGCTGCTTTGTAGCCTCTGGTTTTGGCATCTTGGAAATGTACTTACTTTACTTTCAACTCGTTCCGCACGTGAACTTGCCCCACCATTTTCCTTCTCTTTCAGTATTGTTTACAAAACACTCAATTATGATCAATATTGTACCTCATATAGTCATTTTTAGGTCAATTTTTTAGTCAATGAAAACTATTTTAAAAAAAAAAAAAACATGTATATACAAATTCTGTATATTAGTTTGATGATTTTGGATAATTAAATTTGCGACCCAAGAAGGATGGGGTGAAAAACTTTCTGTTTGACTTGATTGAAAGAGAAGGTTAAATTATCGATGAACTTTTATATCCATAGTTTATACTATTTAAAATTTAATTGAAAAGTTTAATTTTCACATATACAAATTTTTGCACTGTTAATTATTTTGAAATCACTTTAAATTAGTTTCTTAAAGCAATGAAAGTAAAAAAAAGAAAATTGCATTATATATACATAATAATTTATAATTAAATGGGAGATTGAAAACCTCTGATTTTATGATTTTAATTAAATTAATAATTAAAACACCCATGACTCCAAAACATTTATTTTGCCTTATAAAACACATTGTTTGGAAGAAGCGAGGAATTCATCATCAAAGTTCTAAATAATATATGTTGAAAGTTGGATTAGTTCATTTCCTAGGGATAAGATTAATGAAAAATAATAATTCACGGTTAATATAACTAACTAATTATTATTTGTAAACCCCAAGCGTGTAGTTCAGCGGTAGGGGTTGATCCATGCTTAAGCAAAGTCAGGGGTTCGAATCCTGCCTTGTGTATGCAGCCGCGTTAAATCTTGGAGCCAGCTATCCCACCATACTCCAGGAACGAACCTAAAAAAAATTAATTATTATTTGTCGATAAAAAAATAATTTCATGAATATCTTTTGATAAAAATGTTAAAAAAAAATTAATTAGTCGATTAATATCGATCGATTCAAGTGATAATATTTTAATACTTTAATCTCTTTAAGTAAGTTTTTTTTATTAGTTTTTAAGTAAGATTTTAACTTTAAGTCTCGCAAATAGAAATAAAAAATAAATAATATTTTCATCTAAGTTATTTTTTCTTAACTTGACTAAAATTTATGAAGATAGAATAACTTTTAATATTACATATTCAAATAAAAATAAACTTTATCTAAAATTGAATGCGTCCTTTTTATGTAGATATAGTTCGCACAATGTTTTAAAATAAAAAATAAAGACCAATCTAAATTCATATAATATAATTTTTGTTGATTAAAGATTATTTTAACAATTATATATAATTCAACTCTATAGACACTGAATTAATTCATGTATGTTAAAGTAGATCTTACAATTGCAAGAAAAAGGGTTAGTTATATATAAAATATGTCTAGGAAGTGAGTCTCCTCGAGTTCTTCCCTTTGACGAAAAACAAGGACAAACTTCACAAGAAAAGAAGAAGAAGAAAAAAAAAGTAGAGTTTTAAGATATTTATTATATATTGTTTATGTAAAAAAATTATATAACTAATTAATAAAAATTGTACTTAATCTAACTTTAAGATAATTATTATAATTTTTCATATATAATAATTTGAATTTTTTATCGGAATAATTTGTATCTCTCTTTTTTTTTTTTTATCTGAATAATTTGTACTTTGCAGTACTGCAGACAATTTTCTTAGAGAAAAAGGAAGAAGAACAGCAAGTGATCCACGCGCCTAAATAACTCACACTGTTGTTCGATTAAATACAGAGAACAATACTGAGCCGTCAGAAATGCAAATGACATTGTAAGTTGTATTACTTGACGTATGAGATTTTTTTTTTTTTATAAGTATAATGGTGATATATTGTAGGTGTGAGTTTTTTTACATTATTAATTAATTGAATATTTTAATTTGTATGATTTTTAAAATAATTATTATAAAATTTAATAAATTTATCGTTATGTGGATTGTGATTTAATGTTAGTGTATCACATAAAAATAAATAAATTATGAGCTTAGCCAACAAAAAAATAAGAACGGAATTATTTATGTTAAAAAATATACTAACTAGTTCTTAATTAATTATTTTTTACTTTTGTCAGAATGATTTATGTCTAAATCAAACTATTGTAAGATTATATTATCATTATAATATACAATCCTTACGAATAGTTATATTTGAATATATATATATATAATCTATTTTAATAATTTTTTAAGGAGGTTTAGAATGTATTACCATCTTTCTATTATGAAAAATAGCATAATTTCAAGGCAATTTATTAGACCTAATTACTTTTCTATCTAAAAAGAATTTTATTTATTTTTTATAATATTTTAGAGTTTCTTTATTTAATATATTGATTTAACTTTAGTTAGAATTTTGCTTTCGTGAAAATTAATATTTGTTAACTATTTTTTGTTTTAGTCAAAATTTAGGGTTTACGATTTAGGTAAACTTATTTCTGAAATAAATCAACCTTTCCTCACACACATATATATAAGAAGGGATCAAATGACTTAATATTTCATAAAGTTATTTCACTTAATAATTCATGATATATGTTAAATTTTAACAATTCAACTGTTAAAAATAATATATAAAATGTTCTCATGGTTATTTGTATATATATATATATATATATATATATATATAAGAAGTGTTGTAATAATACCGATGTAACTTTTACAAAGAATAAGTTTACCTAAACTTATTTTATTCAATAATTCAAGTTTTACATCAAATTTAAATGACTAAATCATTGAATTAAAATTTTTTAATATATGGATAAGTCTGTAATTTTTTAAAATATTTAAAAACTATTTGATATTATGTTTCACTAATTCAAATCAACATATAAAATATTTTTATGATTATTCATCAATTTAAATTAAAGTAACATTATATCAAATAATTTTTAAATTATTTTAAAATTTGTAAATTTGATCTACACATTAAAAACTTTTAATTTTATGGTTTAGTTTATATATATATATATATATATAGAGAGAGAGAGAGAGAATAACTCATGATATATATTGAATTTCAACTATTAAATTGTTAAATTAAAAATTACTGATGTACAAATCAAGTTTGTAAATTTTAAATATTTTAAAAATTATTTGATATTTTGTTTCATTAATTTAAATTGACAAATAATCATAAAAATATTTCATATTTTGATTTAAATTTATATAATGAAGTGCATGTTTTTTTAGTTTTTTTAAATTTAGATTTATCTATACATTAAAAACTCTTAATTTAATGATTAGATTGCTAAAATTTGATTTTGAACATGAGTTATTGAGTAAAATAAATATAAGTAAATTTACTATAATAATAAGTGAATATCTTTTCATGCATATATA